TAGCAAGATGGCCGACACACACAGGAAAGCTGACTAAGAAACATTAAGTGTGTCTGCTGGGAAACTGACGATGATCCGATGATGATGAAGATGATAAGAGCAACACAAATCCCAGACGTACACAAACACTGCACACTGCACACTTACAAGAAGGAAGCATGACATCAGATGTTTATCACAAGGGAATCATCAGAAAGGTGCAAGTCAGAGCACAACAACAACTATTCTCTATCTGCTGTTCATACATGCACTCCTGAAAATATCTACAAGATTCCAGGACAGCCTGCCCCTGAAATCTTCACGACTAAGTTATTTACACTTTTCCATCAGAGCATGATTTTTTTCCTGTTAGGCGAGACGAGAAGGGGGGGGGGGTCTCAGACTGCAGGACATGACATAAAAGGGACTCATCCTACTTGGACGTATTCACAGTATCAACTAAAGAGTGGAAGAGAACATACTGGTGAAACTGGTGAGCTGAGAAGAGTATGAAGCAGCCTTATGATGTGCACCAAGATCGCAGCGGTCACTCACATGTCACGTGAATAAAATGTCATCACCCTCACTCACTCGCCTGCATTGAATTTTCCTGACTTCTACCTGCAGTGTTCACACATGCAGCAGCAGCAGTTTTGTGCATGTGTAAAAACTTGCCACACCTCACTGGTCTTCTCTGCACGCACGGTAACAACACCTTTGTCACGAGTACTTCCACGACAACAAGCCTCATCCTCTGGTGACATGCTGCGTCACAAAGGCCCTGACGTCCACCATTCAGCGGCGGGTATCGGACGTGAAGCTAAACGAGCGGAAGAGAAAGGAGAAACCGGTGCAGAATAAAGAGAAACTTCTCCTTGGAGACTGCTGGTGAGAACACACCTGAAGCGCGGGTACACACCAAGATCAAAAACAGGGCTTTGAAGCATACACACACACACACACACACACACACACAAGAGGAGATTCAAAATCCCCCTTAGTTTCCCCCCAGCCCACAAGGGAGAAGGTCACCTGCTCTTCTTGTTGTTTTGCCCACACACTGTACAACCTACTGAACATTTGCATTAAAGGCCTGAAGAAAACTAAACCAAATAGCTTCATGAAAAGGGGCCAAGGCCCCCCCAAACATACCAGAGAGCTGAGTGAAGTCTTTCTTTCTGTAAGACGGGGAGGGACACACCTCTGTCAGTGGGGGCCCCTGGGACCCCTGGGTGTAATCTGGTACTGTGTGTGTGATTGTGCCTGCCATGCATGCAACCCCCACCCGTCCCTCTCACTTTTCCCTCTTCTTTCTCTCCATCACCTCCCACAGACAATGTTTATCTGCGTTCCTCTCGCACTCACAAGGTTCCCCCACAGCCACCACCTCTCTCTTTCTCCGTCTGTTGCAGGAAAAAGCTTTCTGCATATGATAAGGAATGACGCAGAGTGGAAAGAAACAAACACTTCTTAACCCCTTCATCCTTTTTGTCACAATGCAAACTCCAGCGTTTTGCTCGCAGAGCAGAAAGTCGAGCCCCTGGCGATGAATCACACACATACTGCAAATTCCTGGACGCAAACTGAGGATTTTTCCGGATTAGAAGAAACAAGCGAGATGCCAATTGTCCTAACAGCACTTTCCTATTCACGGGGGTTAGGATGTACCTTTCCTATGAATGATCTATCTGCTGCAGCATGACCACTCTATTGTACAGAGAAGCTACTGGGGGGTGGTGCAGCTGCAATCACAAAATGGTTGACTCCCCCTACTTAGGCTGCACAAAATGGCCTCCTCACTGCCAGCTGAGTACAGTGCTGTAGGAGATATGCATGAGCATGATTCATTATTGAACACTCTCCTCCCTCTGTATGCATATGTCTGCAAAATGTCCAAATGTGGCACTGAAGAGTTTAGTTAAGTGTCTGTGCAGTATGAGACAGAAGAGATATAAAAAGAGAAGTTCTGCACACACACACACACACACACACACACACACACACACACACACACACACACACACACACACACACACACACACACACACACACACCCAGCTGTGAAATGAGTGATGTACTGTACTCCTTTAAAAAAAACAGCTCTTTACATCATCAAGAGGATCTATTTCATTAAACGTATTCTTACCTGAATGTGCATTTTGATGACGGCTTTTCCGATGAGTGTCGCACCAAAAAAAGTCCAAAAGGGAACCAAAAAGTGTCCGCATGTTATTCCTGCCAGGTCAAATAAGGGATTCGGAATCTGAGGAACAACAACAGAAATGACAGGAGTTCATTTTGTGAACGTGTAAAACACAGAAAGACATAAGAAAATATTTCAAAATAAGAGTTTCCATTGTGCATATTTACGGGATGTGTGAGTTCAACATGTTGCCCTGCAGAAAGTCACATTTTAATATCTTTAACACTTTGACAAGCTTCCCTTTTTATTCACAAGTCAAACAACACACACTCGCACTGATGTGTTGAGGTAAAACCATATCAACATTGATGTGAACATGATGATAACTGCATGATGGGGATGTTTTATACATTTAAAATAAGAGTCATGATTGATCTGACTTACAGAGGCGCAGGCTAAAATCCCAAAGAAGCCGACCCTCTGGATGAGTTTCTGCACGGCCAGTTTTGCTCGTGTGGCGACGTCCTAAACGAAGAAGAAGAGGTGGACAGAAAGATGTGTGAATAAATTCTGCATGAAGACTTGATGATGTTTAGCTGATTCTGCAGCAGGAACATACAGGAGATATCTCACATTCACAGATTTGCACTCAACACAAAATTTAAAATATAAATAAATAAACAGCGATTAATTCCAACTTAAATATATTTAATGTCCGATCAGATTAAAATCAAACCGTCCTTATGAACACTCAGTTATATTAACACCTATTCTTCACAATCTAAGATTTATAGTTCATATGATAATGAGGTCACAGTTAACTTGAGGTGTGTTTGACATTTAAACATTTATTTTAGGGATCAAATGAACAATGAGAAGGCTGACATTTGTTAATTTAAGGACAGGACGTCGTGTGTTTTCGGAGCCTTTAGGAGGTGGAGGGAGCATCACAGAGGTGTGTGGAGAAAAGGTGCTCAGCCTGCTGCGTAATTAATTTAAATTATTGTTTTATTAAGAGATTTTAAAGACATTTAAACATGCCTTTAAAAAATATTCAGACAATTTGACATCCACTCTTCAAACCCTGGCTGTGAAATAATCTGCTTCTCTTACTCCTCCTGTCAGAGAGCGAGCGAGCTCCAGCTTCTTTATTTTTAAATTTATCTCTAATTACGGACATTTAACTTCATCCTTTTTAGACTTAAAAACACGTTTGAGTTTCAATAAAACGAAAAAAACTTTTTAAAAAAAGGATTTCACATCAGAGGTGTTTTTTATTTACGAGTGAAAAGCAGCAGCAGCTTCACAGGAGCAGCTTCCTCCTCCTGTTAGTGTGCACTCAAAGAAACATTTGTTTTAATTATTGAGCAAATTATGAGCTGATGAAAATGATAATGAGATCTTCAGAAGTTTGATCTGCAGCAGCATACTCTGATAATAATTAGAAATGAGTCATTTTTTTAAAGACATTTGCATCTGAGTGATTCCCCTCCCTCGTACGAGAGTCTAAACCACCCCTCATAGGAGCTCACTTTTAAATGATTTAAAAACATTTAAATTAAAATCAAAGGTTTTTAATTTACAGAGAATTTGTTTAGTCTAATTTATCTTCATTTGAGAAAATTCACAGTGTGAAGTAGAAGTGCTGACGAGCTCTTTTTTTAGGGGAAAAGTTGCATCTTTGTTTGGTTTCATCACCAGATAAATTAAATCATCCGGTAAAAATGTTGCTCATGACAGGAGAAATATATTTATTTAATGATTTAAATTAAAAAAGGAGATTTTAACAATTTAATTAACCTCTGAATAAATCCCTGAGCATCCTCCCAACGTAAAAATCTTCAACTTCAAACTCTAAACTCCCTGATTCACCTGCCACTAATTCTCAAACTATTTCAACACTCATGTCCGGACAGATTTCTTCATCACAAAGAGGTTCTAAAAGTGTCTTTATTTAACCTCTGCTGCCCGTTTCTTTCCTTTTTCTAACCTCCAATGTGACAGTGAGAGGAACGTGAGAAGAAGACAACACACTCTGGTCATTCCTGTGACTCACAGACTCGTTCTCTTTCTGCCCCTCTTGCCCTATTCCTCCTGACAGCTCAACAAAAGCCTCTCTTCACAGCAGTGACACACATTTTTCCCACTAATATACCTTTTCTGGGAAGAGGAGCCTTAATCTGTTTGGATTTTAAAACCCTAAACTGGTTCTGGGAACACAGAGGGGGAGCACAAAGGAGAGCCCTGATCTGATCACGGACCTCTTACTTTCTTTCTTTGTTTTTGGACACATTCAATATCTGGGTAATTATAGAAGATTAATCTGAGCTCGATGAAACAATGATTCAGTCAAATTTAATGTGTTTTTTTGATGTTGTAAAGAAATGTTTTAAACTGCAGTCACACAGAAATACTCAACATTTCACTTTTCAGGAGTATTTGATGAGAGATTGTTTTATTTTGAAGGCCTTCATGTAAAAACTCTGAAAAAAAATTAAAATCAGTGGTTTTTAATCATGGTTTGATTTAATCTACTTTTATTCTGAAGTTATATAAAAGTTTTTGTGCTTTAATCATTAATACGAAAACTTTTTCTTCTTTGGAAAGAATTTCTAATAATGCCTCTTTAATAAAAATGTAATTTAAAGTTCTCAAAACTTTTATTTCTAATTATTTGAAGCTTTTATCTTCCACTTTTATTTTGAAGGAATCTCTGCATTTTGGAGCTCTTAATTTATATTTTGCAGAGTAAAGTTTTCAGAATTTATCTTGACAGACTTATTCTTAATATTAAAACTTTTTTAAAGCTTCAATTTTAAATCTGTCTGCTCTCACAGCAGACGCACAGAATCATAATAATAATTATAATAAGAACATATTGAAAAAATAAGAACTTTATTTGTTCACAATGTGCAAAATTATCTTCGGCTTCACAAGAACAAAAAACAAAAACATGAAGACAAACAAAGACAACATTCAAGAAACCAGAGAGTGAGTCCTCGACAGCTTCACAGTCAACATGGTTTGTATTTTTGAAATAATAAAACTTAATATAGTTTGAGAATAAGGCAGAAGGTTTAACACTGTGCAGGTAAAGGTGGACTGATTTTGGGGGAGGGGGTATGTTTATGTTTATGAGTTTTTTCTTATATTATTTGATTTCTAAGTTATTTGAGATTATTTAATTTTTATCTTTGTTGAGGATTTCAGATTCAAACAAGAACAATGCGATTAAAGGTAAAATGAGGAGAACAGCAGGTTTCAGTCCGTACATTTCTTCCAGACTTTTAATTAAGGGTCGAGTTTTAACCTTCAGGAGAAGGTCGGCCCTCTCCATGGAGTTTATTTCATATATTTATATTTATATTTGAGATGTTTGTCATTCAAAGCTTACATGAACATAACATCTGTTAAAGTTCTTGATATCAGCTTTTCTTCATTCTTAAACATGTTGTGATGTCATGTTTTTTGTTTGTCCAGCTCTCTGATCTGCTGCTGTTTTTTTTTTTTATGTGCTTTATAAATAAATGTGACCCAAGTTGATAAGAAGAGTGCGGATGCTTTAGTTTCAAAGTGACAAAACTTCCTTTGTGAAGAAAAGTGACTCTTTCACACTGAATGCTGACACACACACACACACACACACACACACACACACACACACACACACACACACACACACACACACACACACAAGTGTGAACACAATAAGATAAAACTGTGAAGCTGTTCAGTTTTCCTGAAGCAAATATTCATGTTTTTATTTTATTTTATTGCCAAAGATTTCTGAGTGATTCCCTCAAAGAGTTTGTCTTAGTTTTATCATTTTCAATTTAATAACTGTAATAAAAATGAGCCGATGAATGGATTTTAAAGCTTTTTTTCGTCTTTTAATATTTAAAATGTATTAAAATCATAAAAAAACAAACGAAATAAATTATGTTTCATGTGCTCATGCAAGAAGAAATTGTTTCCTGGTAGAAACTAAGGCCTCCGTTTCTGAAGCATCATGTAAATTTAAAATAAAAAAAAGAGGCTCCAGAGGGGGCTGGCTGAACATGATCATACCTAATATGGTCAACAAAAGCAGTACAGTGCTGATGACATTCTTTACGGGGTGCAACCAAGCGGTCAGGAAATTTGAGAGACATGGGAGGTCGCCTAATAAGGTGCTGGTGGGGGGAGCGAAGGGACACACAATCTGATTGGTTCACCATTTGAATTTCTGCTTCCACTGATGTCCAATCAGGACGGCTTATCCTTGGACGAGCCTGTAGTTTTAATTCTAGCCTGTCCCCATGTGTGTGCGCGTGTGTGTGTAAGTGTGCGCGTTGCTCAGCTGGTGGGAGACAGGGAGAGAAGGAATGTGTATGGTTGGTTTACAGCTGAACCGCGGAGGACTGTATCTGGTCCAGGGACACCTGACGACTGCGGGTGCTGCAGCACACACAGAACCCTGCAGAACCAATCATTGCCATGGAGACGGCTTGTGAATCCCATTTGTTTTATTACGTCATGACACATGTATTGTTTACATTGGACGTGCTGTAGTTATGCTTTTTAACTCATGCAGCAAGAGCGTGCATTAAACTATCACTGCAGCATGAACAAAGGGTCCCAGAGGAGGTGAGGGGAGGATGTAGGAGGGTGTGTGTGTGTGTGTGTGTGTGTGTGTGTGTGTGTGTGTGTGTGTGTGTGTGTGTGAACTTGTGACACTGTGATTTACTATAGTTGAACTCTCTACTTTGACTCTCTCTCTGTTCTGCATTTCTGGACCCGGGAAGCGTCTATCTTGGATGTCTGGGGTTCAGACATCCAGACTCTGTTGTTGGCGGCTTATGGAAAATCACCATCTTTGCCAGGCAGCTTGCCAAAGGCTGCCTGCCGGCCCCCCCCCACCTCCTCCTCCTTCTCCTCCTCCTCCCTCCTCCTCAGCCCCCGTCACAGCCGACCTGCAGGGCTGGGCTTAGCAGCAATTACATTTGGTAAGATCTTGTCGAGGGTGTGCAGCGTCATTAAAGCCATGGAGGTTTTTTTTTTTTGGTTCCAGGTTTGGATGTTCGGCACAGATGCTTGACTCAGCAGTCTGCACAGCCACCCCACATGGAGTTGACCTCTGTGGGAAACAATCATCACATTTGATCTGCTGTTTATAGGTTTTTATAAGAACATCATAAGTGCTCCTCACAAACCACACTTTAACAGGGTGTTTTTTTTTCTTTACAGCATTAACTCTCCATGTGTTTAACGAACGTGAGCACCTTTAAGAAACAACGTCACTTCTTGGAGCTTTTAGAATATTTTAAATACCGTAATTAATGTGATAAATAAGGAATAATGGGACATTTGGCACAAGATAAAGACGATTCTTCTCAATGATTTAATGAATATGAAATAAAATTATGATTAAGGTCTGACTCAAGAACGTCTCCTTACCTCAAATTTAAGAGGACGAATCAGAATTCTACATTTGGCATGACAGCTTGTAACTGTGTTTGCAAATTCAAGGTGATGAGAGGGAATTTATCCCTTTACTTTTTCTAGCAGCAGTTTTTTTGAACAGCATCTGTTTTTAGTTTCGCATATGTTCAGCTTTTCCAACAACTCTGGAAGTGATGTTTGCCTCTTTTTCTGGTGCATCACTGTACGATATGAAGTCTCTTTATGTTAATGATGAAGGAAGGATTTCCCCACCAAACAAAGAGGGTTTTCTCTTTTTAAAAAAGAAGTTTGCAAAGCTGTAGTGTTCGGTCGTGCTGCTGGGGTACGGAGTTCAAACGGAACAAAAAGCAGGCAGCAACAAGGTACTCTGCTCCATGTGGAAAATCGAAGTGTCAGACAAGGAAAAATCTATGCATAGCCTATACACAAGTCAACACCCACACACATTTTTTTCTCTCCCGCTCTCTGTGTTTTCGTTTTTTTTTTTTTTCTCAATGAAAGTCTTTCAAACAGAAGACACACATCTCCGGAGCAGCCGCGAGCCCCCCGACACGATGACGGCTAAAGTTCATCTCATTAACTCCAACAAGCCCGCGCCTGCTCGCTCCGGCAGAGGAAGTGGAGTGATTAAGGACTCCTGACGCAATAGAAAGCTACGGACCCCGTTCAAGAAGGAATAAAAAGAAGATGTGTACGTTGATATCTATATGGACACACTTAGTTTTTCAAACACACACACACACATATATATATATATATATATATATATTTATATAAAATGCACCCCTGAGTCCACGTTGACAAATTCTTAACAAGCTGTGGTTAAAGGGAAGCTGGTTTTACTCTGACTCACCCCCCTCCTTTCAAACAGTTTACTGGAAATAAAGAGGGAGGAGGAAGGAGGGGGCACTTTCAGAGAAGTCACGTGACGGGGCCGGGCAAACCACAGAGAGCCTTTGAGTGCAGTAGGCCAGGGGGGAAAGGCAGGCATACGCCCAGCACAGATGGCCCTGATTTGAGTTACAGGAGATACGATCCTGGGAGTTGGCAATCAAGAATTCACAGCCTGTTAACCCCTTCTGTGCCGGATGAAAAAAAATACACACAAGGCAGGAAATAACTTCATTATCAGGTTACAAGCAGTCGTGAAGTGGATCCTTGAAGGAAGGATCCTCCGAGGCGGTCCGAGGATTCCTCTCCTGCACACGAGCGCTCTGAGCTAAAGATTTAAGAGGGGAAAAAAAGAAGCTGATGTTCATGACATCAGCGTCTGGAGCCGTTAGAAAAAGCATGACTTCATTATTCTTGAATAGCTCTGTTGAATGAATGAGAAAAAAAACCCAGAGTGCCGGGCTGCTGCTGTGCATCACGTGCACTTGTGGCAGGAAGTTGGCACGTGCTGGTTTGGAGAAATACCACTGGGTTTATGTCAATCTGCTGGCACCTACAGTCCTCTCTGTGACTAGAGCGCAGGGGACGAAGTCAGCATCTTAATCCAGCTGCTGCCACAGGGTGTGTGTGGGAGACATTTAAGCATGTGTGTGTGTGCTGAGGGGTGTCACATCCTAACTTAACCACTTCCTATCAAATACACAACGATCAAATGTCGCCAAAAGTTCCCCACGTCCAAGTTCAGCGGAGTCTGTCTCCACTTTGGCCTACAACCACTGATTAGCAATTAGCAATTAGAAATCCAGAAGTGATGACTTCTTCTTTTTCCACCTTCCAAATGTGCCTCAAAAGTAAAAAGTGGAAAAGTGAAAAAAGCAATGACGTGCTGCGGAATCTCCTGAAGCAACGTAGGGAACCCTGAGAACATCCGAGTGGTGGTGAAAGCCCTGGCGAGAGAAGAAATGTTTCCGTATGTTGCAGGTCCTCACTGGTGCAAGCAACCTGCCTCCAGATGCTGTCCAATCACACGAACACACATTATATACATACACACAGCTGCCACATATCATCAGAGAGAGAAGAAGAGAGAGCGAGGGAGAGAGAGAGAGAGAGAGCGAGAGAGCTTGCAAAGCAGGAGTTGAACTGTGCGTGAGAAAGAAAGAGTGGAGGAAGAGAGAGACAAAAAAGAAACAATATCAGAGAGAGTGAGAGAGAAAGAAGGCAGCAGCTGCAGCGTCACTTCTAATCTGCACTCGTGTCGTGGATGCGAGGCAACAAAGGCGATGCTCCTCCTGCGTCACACAGGAGCTCTTCAACGGCGAGGCGATCATTTAGACGAAATCCCGTCTTCCCCACGCCGCCCGCTTGTCTTGCTCGTCCACTGTCTCTGAGTTCTTTCCTGACTGTTTGGGACGGTGGGAAGCAGCACTTTATCAGTAAGTGATGTCAGAGCTCCACTCACACACATGTGGTCTGATGTTGGTGCCAACCTATCCAGCTGTCCACAACATCATGATGCAAGTGGACCTTACAGTGGATGCAGCAGCCAGGTTCTTTGTTAAGCAGCCAGGTTCTTCTCACCACATTTTTTTGTGACTTCCTCTAAATCTGTTTCAGTATGAAGGTTTGTGTGAGGCGACTCAGTTGTGATGCAGTGAATTATGATTGAAATTATTTATTTCAGGAAAACAAATTCTAATAAACACATAAAGAACACAACTAAAGGTCTGACTGTATTTCTTAATTGTCTTAATTGTCCTGTACAGTTCAACTCACTCCTTCCACTTGTACATACCTCTTATTTTATTTGAATTTATCTGTTCTGTTTCGATTTCATTTTGTGCCTCCAACTCGCTCCTTGTCTTTGTGCTGCTGCAACGCCCGAATTTCCCCTCTGGGGATCAATAAAGTCTTATCTAATCTTATTTAGTGCTTCGAGGGGCGACCATGCTTTCATCAAAAAAGAATAGACTAAATGTCCCACACCTGAGCACACACAGTAGATGGAGCGATGTCTTCTTAAGCTCATGGTGTTGGGATTGTTTGAGATCACACTTCACAAAGGTTTAGAGGGAACGAAACATTGCGATTTTTGTATAAAAGTAGTGTGCAGGATGTTTCCTTAGCAAAAAAATAATTAAAAAAACGGATGAAGAAATGCAGGATGAGCATTAACAGCATACACCTGTATGTCTTTGTGACATCAGATCACCTGCTGCTGCGGCTGCTGCTGCTTGGGGGCGTTATACGGTTCAGAGAGTTGATGTGACCCGGCCAGCAGCAAAATACCTGCTTTGAGATCGGATATGGAGCTGTGGTCAGGAATACTAAATGCCAAGGTTCAAAGCTTTATCTCAAATGAAAGAAGGGAACTGAGGATTTCTACCACCACATGTGAATGCAGCTGTTCCCTGATCTTAGTCTACTCTCTGTTTGAGCTTCATTCTGTTATTCCTGAGTTCCTGACTTTGCTTTGTGTGTCAAAGCATTTTGTAAACGTCTGTTTTTAAAGGTGCAATAGAAGTTGTTATTATTTTTACAGGGAGATGAGAGGAAGAACTCAGAAACTGTTAGCGTGTTAGCTTCTGTAAAAGTCAAAAGTCAATCAGACATGAATGAAAACAACATGTTATTGGGTTTGGATCAGATCGATTCAGACTGCCACTCTTTTTTAAAAGCACACAAACTATTCAAACTATTCAGCTCCAGGGGAAACAACCCGGACGCCTGTGTTAGGATCAAAGATTATATATATTTATTATTATTGTTATTTTAATGTTTATACGAACGACGTTGTATGAAACACATAGACTGAAATGTTTCAAGATGAAACGCTTCAGTAAAGCTGTGGAGGAAGACAAACAAACAAACAAACAATAAATACAATCTTTGATATTCCAGACAAATAAATAAAACTTGTCATGAATATTTTTGAAGTATATTCAACAGCCTGATGTTTATTTTAATGACATGAATAATTGTGATGGGAAAAAAAACACGGCTGTGTCAGAAGTTAAATCTATGATCTGAAGAATTCAACGTTCAAATACTCGTCTATTCTAACACAAACCAAGGAGACATTCAAACGGTGGTAAATCAGTTTTTCTGATTCAACAAAAATAATGATTGTTTTTCAATTTGAGAAAAAGTTCTCTCGACATTTTTTGTAGATAAAAATTCAAAGGAATCATCCAGCCAAGAATAAAAGGTTCAAATGTAAGAGCTTTCTCCTGATGGCTGTTCTTCTCTTATTACTTAAACAATTAAATGACCTATCTCGTAACTTTAAAACAATTTTCCTGTTTGAAATCCTGCTCTAACAAAGACAGCAGAGCCACTGCTTAATGATTTAAAGCTAAACTACTGTTAGACTTAAACTCATCTTAAGTAACAAACATTTTGTAAACAGGTCTTAGATGTTCAAGAGACAGGATCCAAAGAAAGTTCTGGAGCACACGGATCACTTCAGTCAAATGTATTTAGGTGCAAAGGAGTAACGTTTTGACACATTGCATCTTCCTCAGAGTCAAACAGTACAGGTAGAGTTTTGAAAAAACTTAACACACGCTTACTCAGTAAGTGAGGATCCTGTCTGAGAGAGGGATTCCTCTGAATCATATTTGAGGTCCATCTCTGAGAGCCCCGACCTCCATTTGAGGAGCGGCTGAAGCTCAAGAGTTTCCTTCTCCTGAATTGTAAATGTGACAATACTCTCTGAAATCACATCGTAATCTACGCACATGTACCGGTATGTATCACTCCTCCAAAAATGTATTTGATCACAGTTTGCTAATGTTTGCTGTAGTTTATTTACAAATGGAAGTGTAAGTGAGTCTGTAGTAGAGCTCAGGAAAACCATTTATGGATGCAGCTGTGTTACTGCACTTGACCTGTCTGACTGTTTGACCCACATGTTGGAGGGAGAGAAGCATTCCTGAGGATGAAGAGTGTGTCAGGACAGACGGGTCTGACGAAAGCCGTTACAAAACCGCACGCAAGTTTCCCCTCATTCCTCCCGCTTCATTCATGATCGCCAGAGGTCGGAAAAATAAATATTTACACTAAGCTGCTCGGCATTGTTGAGAGATCTAGAGGGATGTTTGATATGAGAACATTTTCTGAGCGGAAATTTCAAAATGAAGAAGAAGAAGGAGGCGGAAATGGCGGGAACATTTTACTCGAGTGCATCACTGCTGTTACATTAGTCATATGGTGATGAAAGCACTTGATTCCCCCTGTACCGTTGAGACACAGGGGTGGGGCTTGGTCACACACACACAAACAGAGACACACACACACACAATAGGATCAATCTGGCACAGAGTTCACTTCAGGGAGTTTGTGATGACCGATTTGGAAAAAAATCAACAACCGAGATAATAAATCATTGTCAAAACCAAAGACATTGAAAAGGAAATGGTCAAAGGGAGAACAAGCGTGCAAGTGCAAAAGAACAAAGAGGTTAGATCATAATGAAGGAGGTAGAAAGCTAGAGTTATAGTTTAAAGAGATGAGTGTGTATGAGGGAGAGAAAGGAAGAGAGACGAGGAAGAGGAAGTTGTTAAAATAACAGAGAGGGTGTTGGAGATGGAGAGTGGACGCAGGGGGTCACCTGAGCAGCATTGGTCTCATCCAGCATCTCCTCAAACTTCTGGTAGTCCTCGTCATCCGGGTCGGCACCGGACAGACGCGCCGCCCGAGCCATGAAGTATGGAGGAAGCTCTCCTATAGCTGTACCTGCACCCTGCACAAACACACACACACACACACACACACACACACACACACACACACACACATAAGGAGTTTGTTACATTTTACTCTCTGGGGTTCCACATGTGGAAAGATGTTTCATTCAGTAAATAAAGCCGGTCAATCTCATCTCAAAACTCACTCAAACGTTTCACACTCAGATACAAATAAGCTGCCAGTCCAAGAAATGTGAAGAAGAAAGCTTCCATCATCATCAAACACGATATTTAGAAGAATGATTAAAGCCAGTGTGTTGAGGAAACATGATGAAATGTGTTAATTATTTGTTTTGTTGTTCTTTTTCAGGTTGTTCGACACATTAATGATTTTGTGATCTGCTTTGAATGGTAAAAAGTTCATTGTTACAGCGGACGTACTCGTGGGCTGAGAGAGATGATGTTGCCCTTGAGATTTTATTTTATCTTTAAAAAATGTAACAATGTGTTTTATTGATTCAGGTCTTTTGAAAGAGGGGCAGATTGTTTGTTAATTAATTAAACACTGAACGGAAAACAATAGAAGTACTGAGTCCCATGTACGGAGGCTGTAGTCGACGGTGCAGTGACCGTGGGTTCAAATCTGACGTCGGCTCTTTGCTGCAGGTCGTCTCCCTCTCTCTCCTCCCAACATTTCCTCTCTCTCTTCAGCTGTCCTAATCACTCTATACCATGTTTATTATTTTGCACGATGTTGTTGGGTTTTAAAACCGCTCTTTTTGTCTCCATATTAGTCTCATTATTTTAACAAGCATGTCACAATGGTTCTTTGGGGGGTTTAATGTGGCAAAAATATCAATACCCACGCCCCAAAGGAGCTTGCACAGCTTGACATCTGGGATTGTGCGATCAGAGCGCTTAATAGGAATAAAACGGAAAGGATTTATGAGAACGAAAATCCCACAGATTATTAAACGTTCATGGACACATAAAAACACAGGTCATGGGAAGGTGAAAAACCAGATCACCTCTAAACACCATATCAATGCGCTGCACCACTTACGGCTCTGCTGCAGCATACCTTGGACATGTGGAATGCAGAGTTTCTGGAAAATTTAAGAAGTGCTAACAAGCTCACGGGGGTCTGCAGGAACCATGATATCGATATCTAACAGCCAAAAGGAGCTTGTCGCTATAAAGCAGAGGGGCTTAACAGGGAGAAAGCGGAAGTGATTTGAGGGAAATAAATCCTCAGCTCTTGGGTCAGTTCACCAAGTTCGTACCGCCAAAACGTGAGGACGACGGGGGGAGTGAGGGGTGAGGAGGTGAGGGTTAAAGTCTTAATTAACACAATGAAAACAGCCGCCAAGAAATGCTGTGTTTTTTGGAGTTGCTCGCAGCTCATTACTTTAATGTTTCCAGGCACAGGAGGGGAAAGGAGGGCTGCGAGGGGGGTTGAAAGGAAGATGCTTAGGATGTAGCTGTAGTCTAAGTTACAATTACTGATGGTTTCAAGCCTAAACAAATCCCCGACATCCTATGATGCACAGTGAGGGAGTAAAATTCAGCTGTTGAGTTGGAACACACAATCTAAGCTTCAATCTCTCCACCAGAACGACATAACTAACTAATCACAGCCACATTACTTGTATGAAGCTGCATGGCAAAGCCAGAAGATGATTAGTGGGTAGTTAGCAACCATGGCAGCAACAACAAGCCCAAACAATCATTCTCATGAGGCGGCGCTACCTCAAAAAAAGCTGGCCAACTGCATCTTTAATCTGGACACCCTGTTCTCTTGTTAACACCGCAGCCTTTGATGAAATCTGCCAGTTTTCTCTCATAATGGAGACATGCCCTAATCTCCCTGGCAGCTGCTCCATTCAGCAAGCTCTGCCTCTGTTTGTAAGCGTGCATGTGTCTGTGTGCGTGCATCTGTCGACAGGGCAGTGAAACACGTCCACCTGCACAGTGGTGTCGTTTGAAGTGTAGCACTTAAGGGGGCTGCAGTGGAGGACGGAGAGGCTTCAAGAGGGAACAAAACAGACAAAAAAAAGAAAGGTGGAAAGAGAAAGAGAGAAGGGTAGTGGTAGTGGTAGTGGGGTGGGGTGGGGTGGGGTGGGGAGGGGAGGGGAGGGGAGCGTCCAATGTCTCTTCATCATCAGTGTATCCAAAGGATGGGAGTCATGGCAGTAGGAGGGAGGGGGAGGGGTGGGGGTGGGGTGGGGTGGCACTTGGCGTGGGCGCTTTGTAATCCTGGGCACAACAGGTGTCTCCAACTGTATAGCTGACAAGCCGAGGCTGAGGCCATGCCAGGCTGGGGTTACAGGGAGGTGTGGCGCTTACTGGGTGGTGGTGAATCCAAGGGGATTGGGTGGCACACACACCCACAGACGAGGACTACTATGTCACACCTCCAAGCGGGGAACTGCTGCTGGCGTTGGCTTCAGCTCAGAGAAGAAGAAAAAAGACTCCAGTTTGAAGCCAAAAAAGCCATAACGCGTCACCAGTAAATCAAACATGCTGACACAGCAGGATGTAGATATATTAAGATGGGGTGTGTCTTATATGAAGATATTAAGTTATCATAGTATCATGGTACCATTAGTTACACTATCCAGGCCTCTTGTTATGCTGCAAAAGCTTGTGACTGCAATTAGTCCCCTGTCCCCTTTCGCTCTCTTCACCTGTATGCATTCATGTTCCAACAGTTATTAACTTTGTATATCCCTGAGATTGTGTGCTCAGTAGCTATTGCTAATATTAGTCATGTTTATAACACAACTTTAGTCATATTTGTAGTGTCATTTGAGTTAGCATTGATATTACTGGAGTGTGAATTATTATCAGCTTTGTGGTCTTTGTTGTGCTTCTCTGTCCATCTGTCTGTCTGGTTGCCTGCCCATCTGTCCGTCTGACTTTCTACCTCTCTCAATTCAGTACATTTCATTTAAATATAATTCAAATTATTATTTGCAGCACGCTCTTTATGATGATGATGATACAAAAACCTTTTATTTTATACACCTCGTGCTTTGCCTCTGTGCTCTGCCTGTCAGCATCTGTGACTGTCCGGACTTGAAGCTCTTTGTTGACACATATAGAGCTTTCACACTTGCAGAAAACACCTGAAAAGTTCCTGATATTTTAAGGGTGAGGTGTATGTGTGAACGCAAACAGCCGAATTATTCACTCGGACTTCACCCAGAGTTTCTCCCGCCTACCCCGCTAGTTTTGTGAGTGAGAGAGCTGATGTGAGAACATAACAGGATATAATCAGGAGGATTCACCTCGAGCCAATAGAAGAGGAGGGTGACGTTTATATCCTGTGACTTCAGTCAGTACATAGACTGTCTGCACACAACCTCTACGATTAAACTCATGCATTATGTTTTCTGTTCTCCAGTATGTTCTTCTCTACTCTTTAGATCAGATTGTGATTCTGTTGAACAACAACAGAATCACAAACAACAAATATTCCCATAATATCCTCGTATAGTGGACTCTGTTGCTTCGTCCGCTACCTGACCCCCTCCTGTCTGACAGGAAAAGTCTTCCGCTGTGAGGTGCATACTGTATGTGAACAGCCAGGTCAGGAGAATACACAGACTTGTCGTCCTGAAATAGTCTAGATATTTTCAGGAGTGCAGATGTGATGTGTGCTTTAGTTTCAGAGTAGAAATTTGTGTTTTTTTGCAGGGTCAATAATTACCTAAAAATCAAAAAAAGTCTTTTTACATTTGTTTCTATGCATGTTTCTAATTTTGCAGCTGTAAGTGTGAACAGTATGTGTGTTAAGTTAATGTATTACAAAGAATGAGGAAGCCTCCAGCCACACAGCTTCTGGAAAGCCTGCCTGGTTCCTGTAAAGTTCCTGGTACTGAAGAATTAACCGAGGATCTGTATTTCCCCCCGTTCCACATGGTGCAGAACAGGGAAACAGATAACAAAGACCAATCAGGTATCTGTGACCGAGTTCTCTTTTCTAAACGCTCAACAGTTCTGCCTTTCTCACGATAAAAAAAGGAAACTGAGAAATGTTGCTGTAGTTACAAAGAAGTAGATGACGGTGTGCGACTTCTAGTTCACTGTGGTGCAGAGTATCTCTTCTTGTGTATCCTGTATGTGTGTGTGTGACAGTAGCAGAAGTCATCACCAGTGGTTTCATAGTAACTTAGAGAGATTTGAGTCATTGATAAACCCTCAGAGCTCCTGTCTAAGTTGAACTAGACACCATAGTAGGTTGTTGTTTGTCAAAGCCTTGAATAAAATTAGCTTCATATACTTAGACTCTGAAGTGTTAAAAATTTTATTCTGAGCCGCACAAAAGACGGTAGCCTGGAAATAGTTCATATTTCACAGCAACCAAAAGGCTTGTTAGAAGTGAAACCACTGAAAGTGCAAGAAGAAAATTCACAGTAGGTTAGGGTTTTCTAAGCAAATGAGTTCTCAATAAATACATTTGCAGTCACACTGTGAAGGCAAATTTGTGAGTTCCTATTCTGAGCCTTTACCGGAAAGGAGAGCAAGTTGTGGTAGCCTGATGTGATAGTGATTCTTAACTTAGAGTCAGAGACCACAGTCTTTCAAAGGGTCTGGAGATGGTTAATAATATATTTAAATAAAACTCCTCCTGCAACTACAAAAAAAAAAAAACCTGAGTCGGAGTGGCAGACGAGCTAAAATTAACTGAAAATATTGTTCTGTTGCTTTTTAAGTTGCTTCACGTCTTTAATCTTTTTGGTGCTATTAATTTGCTCCTGCTTCGACCTGACCTCCACCCTAACATGTTTACCAAATCTGTCAAAACTCCCTGATCAGAAAAGACAAAATTATTTTCATGTTTTTATGACCAAAAAAACACATTATATACATTTTTTAATGCAGAGAGCAAAGGAATGGGGGACAAAGAAATGTCAAATTTGACACCTTGAAAGAAATGTTTTCATCACAAAAATAATACTTTAAATTTTTTTTTATGTTATCAAAAAATTAAAATAATGAGACATTTTCTTCATTTTGTGTTTACATTTTCTAAAATGGAATTGCCACAGTTCAGGGCTATTTGTGTATTTGTGCTAAATTGCTGTATCTGGTTTGTTTTTCATGCAAGTCTGCTTTGTGGTTGCCAAAAATATACTTTGGCCACCAAACTAATGGCTCAGTGGACTATGGGGCTTCTTCACTTTAAATGTTTGACATGTCTCTTTCACCCTCTTTAAAACCTACTGGATGAATTCATACACCTCTCTGATGAATATGAAGACAGGACAGATTTTCTGATCTGTCTATGGACATCAGGTTTACAACAACAATATCATAAAGCCTGAAATGTGAACTCCAATCTGTTGCAACGCTGCAAGGTCATCGAGCCATGAGAAAGGTTTATTAAAGTTACTTCTGCACTTGTGCTGTTGGACACAGCCTGTGTTTAAGAGGCACTCACCCACATACACGCCTCCAGCTGTACTTTGGAGATGATGGTCCAGAGAGAGATGCTATCTTGGATGGCTGCTGGCCCCACCAGCCCGTCCATCCCTGCTGCCTCCACGCCCACACGTTCAGCATCAGAGCCTGGAGCCTGCACTTCCTGCTGGGGACAGACTATTTGGTCCGGATAGGGCGGCTCGGGGAAATCCACAGAGCCACATTCATAGGCCGCCAAGGTCACTGATGCTATGTGTGGTCCCTGAGAAACAGAAAGAGATAGAGAGGAAAAAGGAAGAGAAAGAGACAAAGGGAGAGGAGTGCAAAAAAAAAGAGTGGGAGTGAGTCCACCTGTTGGAAGAATTTGTGAGTCAAGGGAAGACCCCTTGACTTTGAGTGTATGAGAAAGTGAGTCAAATACTGATGGAGATGTTGACAGTTATATGTCACTCCTTTGGTTCCTACATCAGTGAAAGTCTTCCTCTGCGTTTAACTTTAACCTGTAGGAGTGAAAGTCCCTTCAGGTTTCACGTCTGTATGAGTTTAATAAACCATTAGGAAACAGAGAAAAACAGATAACAAGGATTAAAGGGAGCGATATGTAAAAAAGCTGCTTCTTCCTGCTGTTAAATAACCAACATGATATGGTTAGTCCACTTGTTTATTCCATGCAGCTGCTTGAGGCTAAATATTAAGATTCTTAATTAAGGAAATATGCACTTAAATGTTGGCTTGTCTTTAAATGAAAATTGATTTATCAAGATATAAATGCTGATTGACACGTTAAAAAGATAATAAAACTAAATCTCACACGTTTCAAAATAATTTCAAGGACATTTTGGAAAACAATTTTGGAAAACTGTTGCTCTCCATTCTCCATTATCATATTAAAATCAGGACACGACACAAAATCCGGGAAAAGCAGGCTTCAAATATTTATCAGGTGAGTCTAATCCTCTTTGAAACAACCACAGGTACCTACTGATCAGAAGTTTTACTACGACTCTCATATACAATGTGGATTTGCTCAAAATTTCACAGGTATCATGACAGTGCCAGCCTGAACTGCTCTACATATTAATATTATGTGATCCTCATAACGTCACCTTTTTTAACTTGCCAGTACTACAACTTTTAGACAAATAGATCTGCACGGCCCACTGCTCAGCCCCACTCCGTGAATGCAGCGCTCCCGAAGTCGCAACACGTACCGACATGCACAGGGGTGCGAGGGCCATATTCCACCCAATTAAAATATCCTCGTCTACCTCAAAATATCTTTCTAACACATTTTCCTGCTTAAAATGAAATAGCTTTCAATTTTGCTTCAACACTACGGGATCACCTACAAGTGCTCTAGAGGGTGAAGCACAGGGGATGAACAAACTGACACACACACACACACACACACACACCACACACACACACACACACACACACACACACACACCACACACACACACACACACACACACACACACACACACACACACACACACACACACACAGAGAGAGAAGAGAAGAGGTCTGTTTTAACTATGGGCTGACTTCAGACATAATTTATTAATGTTTGACTGCTCCTGCTGTAAGAGCGAGACATTAGCATACCTAAGGACCCGCTGTCTTTGATAAGGCTTTCTGGTTTACATTTCTGGCTCGTGTTTATTTACCAATGTCAATGAGCCTTCCAGTGATGAAAACAGAGAAATCAAAAGGGGAGAAAAAAAGGGACGTGCAGGTTGGAATTTGGGGTGTGTTGAAAGTTTATTGAGCTGCCAGCTTTGTGTTTTTGACTTGGCCTACCCTTAAACAAGTTATCTCAATAACACCAACGGCAGGCCACACACGTACTCAAATTAAAAATAAAATACACAGAAATACCAAAATAAACACGTTGAGAGGGGAAGTCTCCGTTTCAACACACTTCTGGCAGTCTGCAGTTCCAGCGTAGGTCATTTCAAGAGCTCTTGCTCTAATTTCATGCCTATTTATTTAAACATTAGCACACTAAATTGCGTCAGACAAAAGAGCTTGAATTACTTGTTTTTTACGAAAGTAATCATGTCATTTCAAGAGTCATTTAATGTTCTGTTCGGGTAAAAGTCAAATTGCTGAACAGAACATGGTACAAGAACTACAACAATTACTCCTGCAGCACGGACACTCAGGGGGGCGGAGCCTTTTGTTCTGCATGGTACACAAAGGTTACCTGGTGTGTGTTCACAGTTCACATGGGGGCCGGCCTCATATTTTGGATAAGCTTTGAAAACATAACCCACAGAGTTTTTTTTTATCTTAACCTAATATTTGCATTAACCCAGAGATGAAACCAACAGGAGAGCACATGACTAATTTCCCTTCAAACTGAGATGATATATTTAAATCGTTTGTGATCACAAGATTCAAGATTTTTATTTGTCACATGCTCATACAGATGTGCAATGAAATGTAAAAGACTGTTCCACAAGGTCATGCAATAACACTCAAATTACTAAAACTAAAAAGATTAACTTACATTTTTGCTTAAATTTTGGCATGACCGCTGCTTTGACTCCTCCTGCAGGTATTTCCAACGCTCACTTATTCCTTTGTGATCATCATAACGTAAGACTGGAAGATATGTTATTTTTCATACCGATATCTAAATGGCCTATTGCTAAATATAACAACAGAATGATACCGTGGCAGGAGGTGACCACAGCTCGATCCTGCAGAACAATGTCTTCATCTGTGGATTCCTGCAGCACTAATTGACCTATCAAAGTTTGTTGTATGGGAAGACCGTTGGCCGTTGGGTCATTCTACAGTGACTCAATATTACATTAAGGTTTAAACTGAACCGGATCCAGTCAGGAAGGAAAAAGGTCAAGTCACATTTGCATTTAGTAAGAAAGCACACTAAGCAGAGACCTACATGGATGTGAAATTACAGTGATGATCAAACAAGTCAGGAACACAGGTGTGATCCCTGCAAACAAAGGCAGGTCCATGGAGAGAGTGGCCCTGTGTACTCTGCCTGTTCCCCCGTGTTTACACTCGTGCGTATGTGTGTGTGGGAAGGGTGCTCCCAGTGACGCACAGGGGCACTTTGGCATTACGCAATGTAGCGCCAAAGCGATCAGGCAAAAGTGAGGTGGGGCTGAAACCTTTCCGGAGCCGCATGGGACAAGGCAGGACAGGATGGGACGTGGGAGGGCAGGACAGTGGCGTGTGAGGCAACAGCCAAAAGCAAAGTCTTCTCTGGGAGCAGTGCACGCCTTTCAGATGACAAAGATTAGGCTCTGCATACAAAGCATTACAAAGTGTGGGCGCAGTCTTATTTGCATAATAATGTAGGAAAACACTCCCCGGACATTAAGCGGAAGCGTCCAACGCACATACAAATTTTTCTTATAAAAGCACAAGACAAATGGGAAAATCTTCTGTGACCCAGAGGCAGAAGTCAAGAAACTCCCAGCACTGACCCAGTCAGACTGGATACTCCCCAGACTCATATCCTCTCCACTGACTGAGTCTTTAGTGAGATCACACTGCCCTCACATCCACACACACACACACGTACTTCAAGCTCAAAGACTCCTCAAGCAGAAAGCTTGTGTGGCAAAGTAAGACTATATTCCTTCCAGCTCTATATCAGGTAATGTGTTTACCAAACACACACAGACGGCCTGCCAACTGAGAGCGTTGCGTGACTCGGAGTGCATGTTCTCTCTCGGTCTAACACTGTGTCACTGCTTCTCACCTTACACAAAAGCCCAGTCATCTCATGTTGTCCAGGTGACTCACCCGTCATCTGCAGACCTTCCCACAACCTACATCCAGGTAGCTGCTGTCGATCTCATTCACACACACACACACACACACACACACACACACACACACACACACACACACACACACAGACACACACACACACACACACACACACACACACACACACACACACACACACACTCAGGAACACATTCACATTTCCTCACCTAGGAAGGATTCATTTCAGGAAATAAAATACCAAATACACAGTTGAGGAAGCATTTTTTTAATATCTCTGAGAGAAACCTTTGTTCCACCTCACACATTCTGTTTTCTATAAACACAATAGTGGTAAGGGGATACTTGTGTGTGCTGGAATTACTGCAAAAACTTCTGACTGGGTCTATGTTTAAATATGTGCGATACAGACGATGCTTACAGCCACTAAAATACACATCAGCAATGGCAGAGACACTAAGTTTCTCTCTCTGACTCTATGGGATTTACAATGGAGGCGACATTTCTGGCATTCCTGTGGCGACCAGCAGAAACCAACGCTTGGTCTCCAAAACGAGTGGGATCCCCACTTCTGGGTATGAGTGCATCCACAGAGACTTAGAGGAGACACACACAAAGTTTTATGGAATATGCCTGTGAGAAAAAATAAACAGCTGTTTAAGGGTATAGTCACTCAAATTAAACTGAAGTCAAATCGTCAACCAGATATCTCTCTCCATCGCATGAAGGGTTTTTAAACCTGATCTGGCCAATGATTTGATTTGAATCCTGTTTTTTTTTTTACCCCTAGCATTTTTAATAGGAACAGCTACTTTGGGGGCAGCAGTAGCTCAGTATGTAGGAACTTGGGTTGGGGACCGGAGGGTCACAGTTTCAAGTCTTGGTGTAGACTAAGTCTGCAAAATGAGCTGGTACCTGAAGAGGTGCCAGTTCACTTCCTGAGGTTGAGCAAGGCACTGAATCCCCAGCTGCTAGCGTGCTCGTTCATGTGCAGCCCCATCACTCCCTTAGTGCATGTGTGTGTATTTCAGCGTATGGGTGTGTACAGCATGTCTCTACAACCGAGTGTGAACGTGAACTTCCCCTCACTGGATAATTAAAGGATGTCTTCTTCTTCTTTCTTTTTACAAATGCCTGATGCTTCTCAGTGAACTCACTTGGACACCTTTAAAATTTGAATACTGCATTTTTTTGCTGAAGACAAATCATATATGGTCATCTATCTGCATTAGTTTGTTCACCTAAACTATAGTTAACAGACTAAAGAAAAGTCCTGCTTTCCACTGCTGGAATAATGATGGAGCTTAACATTTTGAGTGACAACTCATCATCACCTGCTTCAGCATTTGGCAAACGCAATTGCTCCTTCAGTCGGCCATAGGCTAAATCCCCCGCTATGTTATCAAATTCAGTAAACAAAAGTGACTCCTCAGACATTTATTTAACAGGAAATCTCTCAGATTACAACATGGATTGTCTGGCTCTGGGCCC